AGTTTTGAGAAGTTTCTTTCTCCACTAGCATTTGCGATTGGTAATGTCAGAATATTTTCAGACCATTGAACGTGTTTAAAAATAGGAAGAGAGATTATTTTATTCTTTACCAGATACTCTAATGGATGGTCTGAGGTCGTTCCTGGTAGGATGATTACTGACGATGCTATGAGCCCATCACAGATTTCCAATTCATTTACCTCTCTTGATTGAAGTTGTTGACCCGTAAGAATAACGTTAAATTCCATGCAGTCCATTCTGATGCCGTTTAAAGTAATATTTGTAAACTTATATATATCATATAGGAACAGAAATAAGTCACTGCAATGCTCTAATTGACCGAATCTTTCTTACAAAAACCGAAAAAATGTAAGAAACGGTATGAATGGGCTAGTCTCTCTACTTGTAATCAAATATATATTCATTTCGTTTTCAGCGAATCACAGTCTCTCATTAGAAATTTGAATTAATCTCCATCTCTTCGGAAAATGCTTTTGCAACTGTCGGGGCTCTTTCGAATCCTTCTTTAGGCCGATCACTGTCTAGACTCTAGAGTATATTTGACGTTTTCTGTAAATCACGAGACAACTATTTATGTAGCAGACAATAAAAATTCACGGAAACATCTTGATTTAGAATTTTCTGGCAAAGGAGCGAAGGATTGCCCTTAAATTTACTTAGTTTTTGTTTTCTCCGCTGGATATGCACTTCACACCCTCGTGCGTAAATCGTGACTTTGGAATTTACTATAACGATAACAAAGCACCAACCTGAGCTCAGGAAGAAATAAGCATTGTTATGATATTACTGACACCGAATATGTGACAACATTTCTCTTTAATCAATGTCCTTCTCCACACCACCACCAATGTTAAACTTTATTTCTCTTGTCCTATTTTCTCTTATGTTTCTTATTCCTTTCTATCAGTTCTTTTCACTATTTTCAAATTTCAATTTACTCCTTTCCTTTTTTTCCTATTATTACTTATAGATGTGCCAAGCAACGTTTTGTGGCCCTAGATAAATTTCATTTATTTATTTTCTACGATCAGCTCTAAACAAACCGCCCTCCCCCTGGCACAGCGGTATGTCTGCGGACGTACAACGCTAGAAACCGGGTTTCGATACCCATGGTAGGCAGAGCATAGATAGCCCTTTGTGTAGCTTTGTGCTTAATAATAAACACCAAACATCTAAACAAACTAGCTGAACCAAATAGGAGTGTAAATAGATGTCTGTAATTAGTTGCAAAGAATATAAAAGTATCGGACTAGGTAGCTAAGAAAATATAAGCTCAAGGACTAGATAGAATAGTAAGGAAACTTCTGAGACTAGATAAGGCTGTAAATAAATATCTAGGGCTAACTAGGAATGAAAACCTTTGCAACGAGCTAGGAGAGAGATAATAAGCAACTGAGATTAGATTTTGTTTGTTTGAACTTAAGCACAAACTACACAATGGGATATCTGTGTTCTGCCCACCACGGGTATCAAAACCCTGTTTATAACGTTTTAAGCGATATTAGAAATGGTTAGTAACAAGCAACTGAGACTTGATATGGTTGAAAAATAACCACGTGGGACTAGACGAGACTGTAAATATATATTTGGAACTAATTATGGATAAAAAACCTTGGCAAGGACCAGAAAAGAGAGACAATAAAAATCTGAGACTAGATGGGACTGTAAATAAGTTTTGGGATTATCTTGGAGTAAAAAAAAAGAAGAAAAAAAGCCCACTGTAAGATAAGCTAGAGGTGTGAATATACCCAACACTGGTGAAAGTAAATCTCTGATATTAGCAAATAAGGCTAAACATTAAGGATTATCTAAAAAAAGTAAGCGATTCCTGAGGACTTAAGTGAGAAACTACACTATCAAGGACTATACTAAAACTTCCGTTTCCTGCATAAAACTGATTAGATCCATAGAACTGGCTATTATAGTAACATGGTAATTGATATCAATATACTATTGTAAATATTTATGGAAACTATGAGGGAATAAAGAATAAAAGACATATGTACGGGTATCCACCCTTTATCGTGTATAAATGAACTGCATCGGAGTACAGTCACATGTAATTGGCTCTCGTCCAACCAATCAGGAAGCACTCCACTAATATAAAGCATATAGAAGTACAGGTAGTCATACTTTGCTTATTAGTAATAGTAGTGTGAATATAATCATGACTCCCAGCACTATGATATTGCATGAAGGGAGTATAGAAGTCAAAGT